TCCCTTCCAGCCTTCCCCCCTTTTTTTTTTAAAGTATGTACACTAGTAACGCCTTAATCGTCAGGATTTCACTTTTCTCTTACAACTCGGTCAATAGAGAAAACTCGATGGAGAGCCCAAGCAATCCTAATTTCTGGGGAGGCGATGGAGATCGAAGTAAGAACTAAGGTTTCTGGTTCTTTTGCTTTGACAAATTTCTTATGTATTGCACCTTATAACAGTATTCCATTTCCATCCTTAATCCATGACAGTAAGGTTTGCGAAGAAGATAAGTTCCCGAGTATTAGTCAGCAAAATCTCCAAATGGAGTCGGTGAGGCAAGAACCAGGCCAGGGTTTCCTGAAAATATTCGAAACTAATCATATAATTTGCATGGCAATTGCTTTTTTTGTTTTTTTTCTCTTTTAACAAGTACGTTTTGGGGGTGAGGGATAGAGAATAGAATCCAGCCACAGGGCCTGGAGTTTTTGCACCTTCACGAGTTGGCAGCAAGGGCCAGGTGCAGATGGCGATTGCTTTAAATTTTTAAAAGGAGTAAGGCCTCTTTGGTGAAACTTCTAAAAGTTTTAATTTTTTTGACATTATTTATATTTTATAAATTTAAATTTTTTAAAAAAAAATTTATATTTTTAAATTTTTTTAATCTTAATAAACTTTAAATAGTAAAAGTTCAAAAGTTTTAAATTTAAATTTTTTATAAAATTTTTTTTATTTACTTTTCACTAACTTTTTTTATTTTTAAAAGTAATTTTTAAATTTTTTTCTAATAAAAATTTAAATTTATCACTCATAACAGTACTCAAAAAGTAAAAATTTTCACAAATTACACCAAACATGTCCTAAATCTGGGGCTTCTACTCATCCTTTGACGTTCTTCTTTCGTAAACATATAAAAAATTAAGGTTTATAGCTTATTTGAAATGAGGAGAGGGTAGAGGAGACGACAAAGAGAAATTTCTCTATTTAATTAATAAAAATTTGAAAGAAAAAGAAGAGGAGGGGAGGGATGTTTCCTTATTTTTCTTTAATTTCTTTTACAATTTGAAAGTTTTCCATTTTCAAGCTTTACGAAGGTATATGTTAATTCATAAAGCAAAGTATCTTATTTCAGAAATGTTGAAGGATTGCAATGTCTTGAAATAAATGAGGAATGAAAGTATATACTA